TGACACGGTGTGTCATTTAGGGATATAAACTCGTTAACTGTAAGTAGATATATTAATATGTATATTGCTTGANCCCCCCAATACACACACACACTGCGATAAGGGACTGTATTTTATGAATTGTTTTGTGTGTGCGTTCATCATACGTCCATGCTTATTCTTGATATGCAATGGACATGACTTAAACCATGTAGATACTGATATACTGTATACTGTAAACTTCTTCAATGCAGAATGCCTACGATAAGGGGTATATATCTAAACAAATTGTCAGTGCGTCCGTTCAAACGTTCGTCCATAGAACAAAATGTTGTGTTCAAGATATCTGATAAAACAAAAAACAGCTCAGTTTATATTTACACCATAATATATCGATTTATAACTCGATTAGATATAGGTGGTCATCTGTCAGATTTAAATGGTCAAAGGTCGCAGTTAAATCTTCTATACAGAATATCTTCAAAAATACCTCAATATAATTGTATGCATTTACACCATACTAGGGTAACATCGGATCCTACAGCTGCTATGATTCTATTGGTTATTGATCAAAAGTCAAAGCAAATGCCACGCTTGAATACTGTGTGGGTATACAAATGTATCTATAGGAGTCCCTTCTCTGATGTTTCTTAGTTGTTTTCTTCTTATTTCTTTGTTTGTACGTAATTGATTCATTACATTTGATGTTAATCATACTAATGTAAATGTATTGCTTTGATTATGTAACCAACTGTTGACCCAAATACCGAATGTGTGGTTGTAAGTCTGCCCAAGTAAGGGGTTTTCTTAATCATCTACTTTGTACTTATGGTGATTTTTCTTGTTCATGAAATAGATAATTTGACGTGATCTTCATTTTATTGATTTTATTTGTGACTTGACAACATCTCGGATTTGGTTGTTAATTTATAACATGACTAAATATCTGTTTTAATGGTTAATTAGTGAGCAGACTTTTTTCTCCGATTTGTTGGTTAATTTGTGAAACGACTATATCACTTATTTGGTAGTTAATTTGTTACATGACTTATCCCCAATTAGATGATTTTAGTGATCACCAATATACTGTTACAGATTTTGCAAGATACTTATACATTGAAATGTATAGAGTCGTTAACTAATTCACTAGAAATACGAAGTAAAGAAACACCCACTAAAACATAGGTTAATTCATGTATCCAAAGACACATTTCATAAAAATCACATGTTGCCATGCATTTCAAAGAATTGTAGCAGAAAAAAATCTACTGAGAACCTGTACATTACAAAACTTTCACTTTACCTAAATTGCCATTCACAAATTTTACAATCACAGCATCAACAGAATGTCCAATATACGGGCTGCAAAACCTATAATAACTTGACAGGGGTGCTTACTCTAAGTCCTTTTGGTTTATTGCTCTGGTTTATAGAAGGCGGAATACTCCAAGCCAAAACACTCTTGAGTGGAACTCTTCTTTTCGATTATAACTGATGCAGTGGCACCCTTTACCTTAAGTTGTTTTCTGCACACTATAGCCTTTTGTTCATTTGGACTTGTCGATGATACTTAAGGTCAAAAGATGTATTTCCATGTCTGAAGAGTTCCGAAATATGTGCAGACGTTAGCAAAGTGAAAAATTTACAGCTTAAACAGATAATTGTTTGGCACTAGCAAGATATTCTGGCTGTTAATGCTTAGAATGAGGGTTGGGCGTTCAGAGTGATCTGTTTTACATACGTACCACCTTCTGTTTGCTGTAACTTCCGATGCTGGTATTTTCTAAAATCAAAAAAACAATTCGTTAGAACTTTACACGTGACTTTTAATTGAACAAAAATGATCTTTTTAGGTTTTCTTTTTTATTGTTGCATAACACATATCGTTGAATAATTAATTCATTAGGTAAAGTTTTTACCTTTTTTGACAGTATAAAAATATTTTGTGATTAAATGTACCATTTTTTATCTGCTTACTATCTAGCATAATTATATTGGTACACAACAAACAGCAACCATAACAATCAATAAAAATAAAAAAATAATAATGATAATGCCTGTTCATAGAATAAGTGATTGTATTCTTTTACTATTTGAAAGTTGTACTAAATGTGTTTTAACGTATATATGCACATGTATATTACTCTATTACACTAAAACTGACTGATATTCTTAAATGTAGTAAGTATTGAAAAAGTTATCTGAATTTTACTGTGTATATTCCTAGGTCACTTGAGCAAAATGCATTCGTGTTATTTGAAGCGGTCTGCAAAGTGTCATATTGGGAAATGTAAAAAAAAAATGGCGGCGTAACCAGATCAAGTGACAGCACGTGATAGGAAAGCTTCTTAAGTTTGGCTTGCTCATTTAACGAATACAAATATAAGACAACGACGTTTTTTCCTTCGACAATTTGGAAATATGTAACATCAAAGTTTTACTTTGTGCGTATTAAACTGACTTGTCCCTACGGTTCTTCGTTGAACAGGTAAACAATACAAATCACTCACTCTGTCATAGAGTGACAAAGGGACCAGTCGGTCTTAATATGTTCCGACACGTTTGATACGTACATTGTTTGTGTATAAAGTAAATCTTTGACAAAAGACAACGGCATTTGATAAAACACGGGACTGTGTTTTAAACGGTTCTGCGGTTTGTTCTCAGTTCCCCTACTTTTTAAAATAGCATGGGGAGGAGAATGTTGTTAGAAGGATTATAGTCTGTTTCTGAGTAGTACTGGCAGTATTTACCTGTGTGTTTACCTGTGGTTAACCCTTCTATCTAAGATGGTATTCTATCTAAGCTGGAAACTTATTTAATAATACATCATATAAGATTTCAGATTTTTTAATAACAAAAGTTAAAATTTATTATATCTAAATATTAATTATATATATACAAATTTATATATGAAATATATCCATTCTGTAGTCCTTGTGCTGCTGAGGTTATTTTATTTTGAAATAATTTTGTACTTTTTAACATATTATCAAAATAGTAATGTAAATAGTTATAAAATCAAATTTTTCACTATTAGTGTATTATTTAATAAGATGATTAAATACCTAGTAAGAATGGTTATGTGTGACTGTGGTGTTTAACAGTTGATAATTAAACTTAAAAAAAAGGAATAAAACTAAATCCCTAGATGTTAGAAGTATATTATAACTATCATAAAAATCATTAAATATCTATAGTTATCCACGCTATCATTTCCAACCTGGTGAGCTAGAAGTGATCACCAGCCAATGCTAATTAGTGAGATAATGATGAGTTTTACCATTATCTAAGCACACCTTGAGAACCGGACGATGGATGTTATGGAGTACGCGGTCGCAGCATCACATCTCTTATATCTGGGATAGATTACAACAAAAATGTGACACTTGACTGTCGGACTGTAGTGCATATTTAAGATAATAACATTTTTTTTCTTGACTTTTAAATATTATGACGCAACAATCCCACATATTTTGAATTTCGGCATCATTTGTTCGTGTTTAAATAATGAATTAAATTACTATTGCCAATTGGATGGTAAAACAATTAATAAATATCATTTAAAATGATAAAATTTCATATCTTATCTACAAAGCGTAGCTGTACTGTACACGTGTACAGGTATTTGATGACATGATTCCATGGAAAATAAATCAATATGCATGTTATTAAAACATCAATAAAATGTTCAATTGATTTGAAAAATATTTCATTACTTTAATAATTAAGGAAAAACATCACAGGCCTAAATGTTTTGACCCTAGAAACACCTGTAGCAGTTTTGAGGAACTTGATCAACCATGTTTTTCATTATTTTTAGCACTCTCCCAAACAGCAAAAGGAGGACCACTTTCACAAGATTTATTTTTGGACATAACATCACGGAATCAACAAATGTATTCAACAGTTGGTCCTCATATGGGAAAGTGATGAAAGTGGTTTGTTCAAGTCGGGGAAACGCTATATCATAGATATAGAGAATATGGCTATACTTACACTATTACATGTATATTAACAATATCTAATATCTAAGCAGTTCAAAAGTTCATATTCAATTGGTTTGATATCTATTCCGTGCATTATTAACTTTTTTCAATTATTCATAATTGCCGACTTGGGGAAATATGGGCAGTTTTCTGCCATAGCTCCTTAAGTACATATCTTAGCTTGTCTTGTATTTGGTGGCTTGAAAAGTGTAATGTAAATGAAATGTTATGAATAAGTATTCAACTCTTACTGTTTAGTTGGTGTTATATCTGTAGTGTACATCAAGTATGTAATGATTGTATCATGTGTTTATGCAGAAATGAATTTTGAATTCTTAACATAAAACTTGATAAACAGACAATCAAGTGTTTATTATTCTATTTCACCAATTTCTTACCCCTCAAAATTTATTAAACTTATAATATATGTATATAAAAAAAACCTTACATATCACATACACAGAACACATTTTAGTCAGACAGGTAACTTTCACACAATTAAGTTACCTGTGGGTCAAGTATGAAACAGACTATTATTGGTTTGCCATTATCTTCCTATATCAACACTTTTATATGTTCTCTAAAAAGTGGGGGAACTGAGAACACCCCTTTTAAAAAATCGAGTCATGTAAATATTTAAAATATAACCAGCAATGTCATTTCACGATCGATTAACTTTCTGTCCTAAATCATAACAGATCTAGTCTAGCTTCCCGTGTTTATGGAGTGTATGTGTCCCAGTTGCTTCCCAACTCTAGAACATATTCTAACTGAGTTTATCTATGAAGGATGAACTACTACAGAGCGAGATGTCAATCGGCTTTCAATCTTAGTCACCTTGGTCTGAGATTTTAGAGTGTCTATGATGATTGAAAACTTATTCACATTGGTCTCATGTTTTTAGCTTCACACATTATTTCTGTGATTTGACCCTACCGATTTAATTTAAATACTTTAATAAAGGGATACTATTGTCGTGTAATGAATATAAGTTAATGGACAATTCCACTGATCAGTGATTGCTTCAAATCTTTATGGTACTTGCGTTATAAATTCCATATCTGTCTTTGAAACATAAGTCTTCCCATTACCCAACGCCATTTTCCAATCCTGACATGTAATTCCATGTGTTGTTGGAGCTTTGCAGTACCAATCTAAATCATAGTTCTGTTGAGTTAAATTACACATATTGGTTGGTTGGGTCATAGGTTGTGGACCACACTGGGTAAGTTCAGATGGTCCGTGACTTGTTTTATTGAACATGCCGCTTAATGTATAAACTGAACCCAAGTTTTTGACCATCGAATGGAGAATCAAAATGTTCATTTCGCGCGGTATTGCAATAGAAACATAGAGTTTTGGACGACCCTTCCATGGAAGCAGGACACTTCCGGTGTAGGTGCCATTTCCGTTATCTATGACGTCCCCGGCCACATTGGCTTTGATTGAATTGTCTCGGAGCCACACCCGTAGAACGTCACCCCCGGAAGTTTTCCGTCTTCCAAGTTGATCCCGTAGTGTGATGAGCACTCTAGCTCGTTCACCTACTGCGTACTTCCGATTCTTCACAAGATGAACAGATGAATTTACTTTACTCGCTACGGTAGTGACGTCATATATTACTTCACTTCCTAACAAGAGCGCCGAGTACGGATTGTCCAAATCTTCTCTTGATTTGTCTATTCGCCTGTGTGCCGTTTTCCATAGCTTTTCCTTGTTCCTTTAAAACATAATAACATTGTTTTAAAAATACCTTCTACATGGTTTTAAGGTTCGTGAATTCCTCCACGGAAATCTGCTTCTTGAAATCCACTTGGTATTGAGGCTAGTTGTCACTTGAAAAGTACGGTATTCAGTTGACTTTTTATGAATGAAGCAATATATAACATAACAGTGTAGATGATATATAGTTTATCACAAAATAATTCTCATCGCTCGCATATGCCGAAAACCTCGAGGCCACTGCAGGTGTCCCCTCCATATCTATTCACGCTCCCTTAATGAGAAAATTGTTTTCACGACAAACCCTGAACACACACCGTGGTAATCTATAAATCTCACATCGGTAAAATTGTGGATACACCTGTCGCGTGTCAGAGGACATATGCCTACTTACCATAAAATAGTGATACCAAGAAGCAGGAAGGTTGCTATTACTGCAAAACATTTCTTCATTGTTGTATTGGATATATATGGACATAAACACACCAAGCGATTCATTTAGTCTGTTTCACGTGTCCGTCAACCCTATTAAAAAATAATCGATTTGAAAAATCAATAATATCTATTAACGTATCTAAACATTGCATTGATTTCATGTCAATATATGCAAAAACCGATTTTCTCTGATACATGTAAGCGCTACATATAGTGTAACCGAATACTCGAATGTTTCGCTTCTCCTATTGGGAGCCTCATGTTTCCCTTCCTTTAACCGACAAATCATCTAAAGATGCGACCAAAATAGGATAGTTTCATGAAAAATGCAGTGTTCAGACTGACATGTGTGGAAAACAAAGAAATGCCGCCAGCACCATAAAAAAACCTAGATAGACTTTAAAAACGAAGCCAGACTAACATGCGAGATTATTCGATAATATAAAGAGTACACACTAGCATGAGCAAGCATGTTTTAACGTTTGACAATCAAAAACATTTAAATAACAGTATTACCGCATATGATTTCGTTATAGAACACTGAAATTCCTATCCTTTGTGCCGGCGTTAACGCGCCTGCTTTTACGACAATACACAAAGGTGTCTTTTACGTGCAGGTTGGACCTTCCCACACGGGACACCATTTATTTATGATAGTTTTTACCTGTATTTTTAACAAATGTGTAACCTCTAATTTGCTGTTACGTGTAAAGGATTGTTCCTTATTATGTGGGTTCTTTCATGCGTAGAATGCTTGGGTACTTCGTTATTGACGTCTCACCTGCCGCTCTAAACGTAGATATAGCCGACACATCAACAGAAACACCACTAACTGGAAGAAGAATCCTGCCAGGAGAGGGTATCGTGTCTTATTGAATTTGAGTTGATTGTCTTCGAAAAGTAAAAGAAGGGAATGTTTTTTCAACCTTAATGGAACCACAGTTACAAATCTTGATGGAAATTATTTACAACGTACATTTGTAGCTACATACACCATTTCTAGCTTTGACGAGGATATAAAGACGTTATCAAAGCATAAATCGGCAAGGAACAATACGTCAGTCAAAGGGATAAGCAAGCGTTTGAGAGGACAGGGAATACTTGCAGTAAGTATAGTCTTACCCATATTCCTGAAAATATATTGCAGATTGCTAGCGAAAGAATGTCAATAGCTTAGATTAAAATGAACAACTGATAAATGAAATACCAGCACGAATTCTACAATCAACTGAAGGCAGCGATNGGGGGGTTGTTTTCAATAAAAATAATTCACTTTTATTAACAGCAATATATCTCTGAGTAAAATATGTGTCCTTGATAAGGTTCTAAAGTGCAGCTACTGACAATGACATTTGTAAACATCTCGATTTATAAATATATTATTTTATAAGTAAAATTATGGTATTATCTACCCTACTACTGATACTATTTTGATTAAATAAACCGAAAATGAAGGTTTCATTGTTAAAACCAAATGGGATTAACAATGCATCAAGAAGGAACTCAAAATTTTGTAAAAAGTCTTGTACTTTCTCACATTCCCATAGTGTGTGAATTATTGTCTCTATTTCAGTCTTACATTGAAAACAAAGAGCACTATCGGTAAGAGCTGCTTTAACGAGATAAGAGTTTGTTGTTAAAATGTGTTGATTTATTCTGTATTGAAGCCATTGTAATTTTAAATTTCTAGTTACTGTAAAAGGAATCATATATATCAATTTCCATGTGTCATCATCGAATTCAAACAATTTATTCCATTTGTTTTTCCCAGTGGATATGGTTATTTTGGCACAAAAACTTATAAAAATCTTGAGTTCCTTTTTTATGTCTCATAAATATTTCTAAATTTAAGGGTATGTATGGATAACTAATCAAAGTATTTAAAGTATCATCATTGGACATGTAGTTTTTTTATAGTATTAGTAATACCTTGATATGTAAGAAAGTTAGTTTTTACATCAAATTTTTGTGATGAATTCTATAAAACTATAGAAAATACCAGAGTTATTATTTTTTAATAAGTCATTTATAATTATAACACCCTTTTCAAACCATTGCTTATAGAATTAACACTTGACTCCTACTGTAAAATATTTCTTATACCAAATAGGTATTTTCAATCTACTTTTCATCTCTCTTATACAATCTTCTTTATCAGCTATTTTTCTCCATGATTGGAACACATCTGTCTAAAAGAGGTTTTTACAATTGCCTTGAATAATCGATAAGTATTCTGAACCACAATTAAATAAAATTTCCTTCTTAACATATTTTTTAAATAACACTTGCCATTTACCCCCTGATGTAAGCAACCTACGTATCCAAGTAAGTTTCAAGGCTTCAATAAAAGACTTGATGTGTATCATTTTAAGACCCCCTTCCTGATAGCTTTTGATGATTATTTCCCGTTTTGTTTTATCTACTTTACTTTTCAATAAGAAATTTTAAAATTCTGAATTTAATTTTTTAATTAAATTTTCATCTGGATTTGATAAGGAGATAAATAGATGATTAAATTGGGATATTAATAAAGATTTAATTATTTGTATTCTTCTTATTGGTGTTAATATTCGTCTACTCCAATTCTTAATTATTGACTTAAGTTTCACTAATCTTTTATCATAGTTTAATTTAGGGATTTGATATAAATCTACATGAGATTCTATACCTAGTACCATACATTTTTGACTTCCCCATTGCAGGTTCCATTCCGGATAATAAATCTCATCACTGTACTTTTTACTGCCTATCTATATATCTTGTGTTTTACTTTTATTTATTTTAAGACAAGAATTTTTTGCAAATAAATTAAGCTCTTTTATTGATTCTTTTAATGCTTGTTTCGTTCCATCTAAAATGAGAGAGGTATCATCTGCATATTGTGAGAGAAGTAAGTAGTGGAGAGTTGTCTATATTTATACCCCTAATATAATTATTATTTCTAAGTCTAATTGCAAGTATTCCTGAACACAAAATAAAAATGTATGGAGCTATCGGATTAATGTTTTCTTGCTATCCCCACATTCATTGTCCGTTCCAAATGTCCAGTTTGACCACTCGAATTGCTCGGGAAAGCCTAGTCTCGTTCAACCAGACTCTTGTTGCCTGCGCAAGCTACGCCGAATAGAGAGTCTGGTCAAACCCAGTGCTTTCGTTTTGTGACATCATAACGAGGCCTACCGAAATTCTGGTAATTTTTTTCATTGGTCAAAGGTTGACAAACCCTTTTTACTTTTGAAGTCGGAATTTGAGTGGCCCAAAAGTACAATAAATATTTTAATTCATTAAAAAATTACCTGTATATGCATTCCTGAAGTAGCCATGTTTTCACTATTAACGAGAAAAATGTAAGAAAATGCTTCATAAAGAATGATTTCATGTATTTTCATTGGATATTTTACAATAATTCATGAATCTAACAAGGCTATTGATACAAGTCAAGCCAGATTACCTGAGTGAGAACTTGAAGGTGTTTTAAATGGTGTACAGGTAAAATCTCACTTGCTTTGCATCTTTTTTCCAACTTCAGTCAGCCGTGTTGGCTTTGTGTTTAGTTATGATTTATATTCAATGGAAATATATGGCATCATTCTGGAGATTTGACACATTTTCTTACATTGTTCTCGATAAAAGTGAATACACGGGTACTTCAGGAATGCATGTATAGGTAATGTTTTTCATTAATTTCATTATTCATTGAAATGTTTAATGGCGTTGACATACAGTGTAACGTCAGGAAACGAAAGTAAAAACACTGCCCTCTGGTGATGGTAATTTTAAAGTACTGTGTTTGACCAGACCCTTGAAGTACAAATAATCAAGCGTCTGGTTGAACGAGACTAGGGAAAGCCCTGTTACAAATAGCACCGACAACGTCACGTGACAGTTTTGAAACGAGGCAGTAAACACAGGTGGTCTGGCCGAGGTGCAAAATTTCTAAAGGGGCCTTAAGAGAAGGGCTGTCGGACAACTTATGAACAACTATGAACCCAATGAATATGATTTAAAGTCCGTGTTGAAACTTATCGAAACCCTTAGAAGTAAGTATTCATCATCAGAAATTAATTGCACACATGCTAATATTCAAATGTACAAATACTTGTTTGCATTTTGCCTTTACAATCCTTCTCCTACCATAGGGATTAGGGGATTTTATCCTTTTTTAGTCTGGAACATCACTGGGCCAAGGGGACTACATTTTTGTATAAACGGACGGTGTGGCCCCTTTGGATGTAGAGTTACGGGGCCCAAAATGGGAATTGGAGGTTTGAATATTTACAATCCTTCTTCATCAGTATTGTACCAGATTTTATGTATTACGAATAACTTCCCATGGTTGCTTTAGTATCCAGTTGGGCGACACAGGCCCTCTGGGCCTCTTGTTTTATAAAGAATCCTGCCGAATTTAAGCATCTCATATTGATATGAAATATAAGCATCTCGGAATAATGAAAATATGAATATATTCAAAATTAATAGATTTTTTACGATGAATTATCTCCTTTTTTATCATACCTTGGAACCATATAGAATACTAAAGTGATACCTTAGTATCC